CAAATATAACACACTGAAAAAAACATATTGCTGAAGACTCAGAAGGGTGAATTTCACCTCACTATAACTGAGGAGTTGCAGATGATGCAAAGCTCAGTGTGACAAAGGAGCAAAGGTTATGGGCTAAGGGACTCCTGGTTTGCTGACAGTGAAGCTTCAAGTAACCCTCACTGACCTGGCCCCCCACTGAGAAGCAGAAAAGAGAGAGAGAGAGAGAGAGAGAGAGACTCACCTCACTCACACAACTCAGGGCTCCAGGGTTCCCCTCATGGTCCAGCCCCATGGGGGGAGGTGAAGGATCTGGACGGGAGGTAGGCTGCAGGAGCTGGGTGTGAGGAGGGAGGGGTAGGGAATTGGGGTACTTTCCTGGTGCAGCTCTGGGTGGGTGCATAGGTGTCTCTGCAGTGCCCTGCATTTGCAGGCACCATCCCTCACCACTCCTATTGGCCGTGATTCCCTGCCAATGGGAGCAACGGGGGTGGAGCCTGCCGGCAAGCGCCAACCTGCACTGCTGTTCCTCAGCCTACAGAGATGCTTCCTTCTCCCAGAGCCAATACAGGGACGTTAGTGCCGGCTCCCCAGTTTCCCCTCTCAGCGTGGAACCATCGCTCACACTCAAGCCATGTGGAGGGAGGCTGAGGCTCAGAGACTCACCGTGGGGCTGGAACACCAGTGCCAGTTCACCCTTTTGTGGGGCAGGAGGGAAGCTCTGAGCCTCGCAGGCCAGATCAAGGCAAGCCAGGGGCTGTAAGTTCCCCATCCTGGCTCCAGAGGATGGTACTTGCTTCCTCATCGCCTAGAATTAGTTGTGAGACTAAATCCATGCTCACATATGAGGTGCTCTGATACTGGGGACCTGGGCTAGTGTTCCCTGTAAGCTGTGCACTTGTGCGGCTGCTCAGGAGAGTCAAACGCTGTGCACTGGCATCGAACCATTTTGCCACACAGCACGGCAGCACACAGTGCAGCCTGCCTCCTGGAGCCAAATCCCACCAGATTCAAATACTCCTGGGCTTGCTTCCAAGATGCTTTCCCCTGGATTGAATGAAGCTGGCCCACAAACCCAGAAGAGGGAAAACACCAGGAGCAATCCCCATCCCCCCTTAGACAGAGCTTTTACCTTTCCTATAAAGGCCTTTCTTCTGTTTTTCTGGAGCCCCTCTCCCCCCACCCTGCCTTGCCACGCACTTGACCAGACAGTCTCCTCCCCTTCTACATTCCACTGTACATGAAGGGCTGTTTTTCATGGCCTGAAGTTAACATGGATCCAGCAATTTTATCGCCAGAGAGTTGCTTCTGCCAGGTTAATAAATGCCTCCAAGGAACAGCCACATGTTTTGTTTTGTTTTTTAAAAGCATTCTTGGACATCAGCTCTCTGGAACCTGTTGGTGCAAGCTACTGTATGCAACTATAGTCTGATTATCAATAACCTATCTGTCTTTATTGCATCAAACACTGGGGTACCTGGGCACCAGTGTTCCCTGTAAGCTGGGTGCTTGTGCAGCTGCTCAGGAGAGAGTCAAATGCTGCCCAGCTGATTAGCAGAGTGCCCACTGCTAGGTTTTGTATCCACTGGTGGTGCACAGTCGCACATGCCTGGGTGCACGTAGAAAGATTCATTCCACACATGGATGGAAAAGATTAGAGGGAATGTTGCTCAAAGTGAGTATCTCCATTTTTTTCACTTATTATTATTTGCAATAGCACCTAGCAGCCCCAGCCATAGGCCAGGACTCCCTTGTAGTAGGTGCTGCACCAACCCAGAACAAAACCGTAGTCCCTGCGCTAAGGACCTTACCATCAAACACAAGATACAACAGAGAGATACAGGCAGAGAAGAACAGGGAAGCAATGAGACAACACTGGATAGGACATGTGTGATCTCAGGACCCCAACAGCCTTGGAGATGCAGCGCCAAATATTCAGACTTGCCTAGTTCCTTTGACTTGGCGCTCTAGGGTTTTCCCCAGCGGAGAATGTGGCCCAGAACTCCCCTTTCTGAGAGCTTTGCTATGGTAGAAACCAAAGCAACCTGCCCCGGTAAGGTCCAGCTGGTCCCGGACAGGGCCAAGTGGGGGAGCCAGAGAGGAGGAAACAGACTCCGTGCTAGATGTTAATCACTTTGGTGGCAGCGCTCTGAAGCAGCCTCTAATTGCGGTTACCTGTGGGGCAGGTGCCTGCAGGCCTGCATGCTCCGGCAGAGAGCTGAGAGACCTCGGTGACATCTGGATGCAGGCTATTGTGTGCGCATTCTGCTGGCTCAGCGCCCCCCTCCCGCTCCACACACACGCTGGAACGCAGGAGCCAGGCAGCCTGCTGAGCAGCCAAGCCCCACGCCTGTTAATAAAAGTGCACAATTTAGAGCAGCCTGGGGTAGTTCTCAGGGGGAATGGGAGGCCCCAGGCAAGAGTTTGTCTCATCAGGAGAGTGAAATGTGCTGGGCAGGGCATTGACACACTTATTTTGCTATTGTGCTGAGAAAGGGAACCCACTGATTCCCTGCCGCTGGTTTTAAACTAATTACGTTCCCTTTAAAGCAGGGAAATTCAAAGAAACTTTGTTTAAAAGGGAAGGTTGGTGGCATGTTACAATTGCTACCAAAGTGCCAAGACATTTATTTATGCAGCCCCTACCTAAATCCTCCCTCTGTTTCATGACAAAGATGAAAGGGCAGTAAAATGTGCTGCCATTATTTTATTTCAGTTTAATCTCCTCTGTCCCTTTGTGGGCCTAGCTGCACATTTGGAACCGGATTCCCCCTCCCCTGACAGGGAGCTGAAGTTGGGACTGGCCGGGGTGTTTATTTTTCTTTTAGTACAGTGGTTTAGATGGATTGACATTATTTCTTTATTTTGACCATGGCAGCTTCCAAAATGTACTTGGTGCTCTCCACAAAACCCCTGCCCACCCATAGGGTATGGATACAGAACACTCACAGGAGACTTCCGCCCTATCAAACTAAAGGCACTTTTCCTCTAGCTCACATAAACTTTTAGAACAGGGAAATCCCAGGTTTATCTTTGTTATCACCACAAAGCTGCAGGGAGCCACAATGAAGTGATAACCATGAAGTTCTAGGTCACACATTTTTTACTCAGTTGTATTGTTCTTCATCTGGGAGGCACAAGAGTTGAGTAGATGATGCTGTTTAAAAGCAACCCAGATGGAGAGTGGACTGAGACGACATGCACACAAAAGTTCTCTGAAGAGATTGAGTGTCAATAGCCTCCCTCCTCCTCCACCCAGGGCAAAGAGGACACAGAATTCTTCACCTGCATTGATTATGAGGGTGTGTGCTGGTTGTACACAGGGGTGGATGTTATGGGAGTCACTGGGGTGCGACTGGATGTATGCCCTGTTATTCCAGTGCTAAGTCGTGTCCATGCAGAGAAGCCCCCTCATGCCTCCCATGTGGCCAAATACCCTTTAAAGGCCGGAGTACAAGTTAAATCAACTCCTTATGACCTGATGGAGGATTTGAACCCAGCCTTCCGGAGGCTCAGGCATGTTTCTACAACATTACAGAAGCAAGTAATGGAGAAGTCCAGCTCCAACTAGTTGTTCTCTCCGGCTGTGTCTAGACTGGCAAGTTTTTCCGCAAAAGCAGCTGCTTTTGCGGAAAAACTTGCCAGTCTAGACACAGCCGGAGAGAACAACTAGTTGGAGCTGGACTTCTCCATTACTTGCTTCTGTAATGTTGTAGAAACATGCCTGAGCCTCCGGAAGGCTGGGTTCAAATCCTCCATCAGGTCATAAGGAGTTGATTTAACTTGTACTCCGGCCTTTAAAGGGTATTTGGCCACATGGGAGGCATGAGGGGGCTTCTCTGCATGGACACGACTTAGCACTGGAATAACAGGGCATACATCCAGTCGCACCCCAGTGACTCCCATAACATCCACCCACCCTCATCAACCCCTCAGTTTCATGATCACCCCCAAAGAGGTTTCACTTTTTTTCTCTTCAGGCAAACCAGCAAAGATCCAGAGTCTCACTCTGTCCATGGCAAGGAGGGCGAGTCACAAAGAGAAATTGGGATCCGGCGATCGTAGACGTCCGTGGGAGAGGGATCGGGCCCTTATCGCAAAGGCTCTGGGACTAAGGGGGAGCATCTGTTGGATAGAGAAGGTGCTGAGATCCTGTTCCCATGAGAACACATTTCCACACTAAAGTGCTTGTCTCTCCCTGTCTCCTCCCCCCGCCTCTCCGCCACCCTGTCTCTCTCTGCTCCTCTTAATTGGTTTGCGACTGCTAAATTTTTGGCCCTGTGCTCAAGCTGCAGTCTGGCTCCTGTAGACCTGTCCTCACCCAAGAGTTCATTTAGGGAGCTCGGATCATTTAGCGCCTGGTCTTTGCCATCACAACAGCACCCTGCTGTGCCCTACATTGTCTCCCTCTCCCCTGCTCCAAGCACCTGGAGACCTCCTTGTAAAAACTTCATTTGTTGGGGAAAGCTTTGATTAAAACAGCCAGGCAGGGGGCTCCCCGCTCCCCCGAGTCAATATTGGTTTTAGAACAGATCGGGGGGGGAGCAAGGGGGAGGAGAAAAAGCGATAAAGCGATATTCCGTCCGCCCACGAGGTGCCACTGAAAGCCTCAGTGTGTTCACAGTGTGTAGATGCCTCTGTTCTAACTGCTTGGGGTATGACGGGAGGCCCTGAGCAGTGCCGCAGACATCAAAGTGGGCCAGACGTGGCGAGGTGGAGCCGCTCTGTGTGTCGGAGACCTCGGGGAACAAAAGCATCAAAGGAAATCAAATGAAACTAATTGAAGCGCTTTAACATTAAATAATGAGGAGGGGAGCCTTTCATGACATGCCAGCTTCTTCCCGTCAAGATCTAGGGACGTGCTTCCAAGAAAACCCGAGCAGCAAAAAACGCCACACACAAACCGGCCAGATAATGAAGGCCAAGCGGCTGATTGTGCCCGCCCAGAACACAGATCCCTTTGCTTTCCCCGTGGAGAAGCCAGCAACTGGGCAGTGTAACTCAGAGAAGACTCTAAGCATGTGACTTGGGTTCACTCCTGCTTCCTGAAAAGGGGATGCTCACTCCACCAGGCTCCTGATCCAAACAGCTCAGCATTTTGGGGGAGGTCTGGGCACAGGAGGAGCTCTGCAGCTATTGGCCAGCCAGGTGAGAACCCCTCAAGAACTGGAGCCACCCTTATGACTAGTGCTTATGGCATCAGCATGTGGAGACCCCCGCTGGGGATCAGGCACTGGCCACATGGACTGTCCCTGCTCTAGAGAGCTCACAGCTTCCTCATCTAAACCCAGCTGCTTTTTCGGGCATGGCTGCATGTGGTCTCCCATCACATGCCTGCCCCTGTGAATGTTAATCCTAGCTGGAGTTATTTTAATGGCAACAGGCAAGATAACAGTTTGTGCAAAGAGACCCAGTTCCATCATGGTTTATGGCTGTACCATACGATGCAGGTCTAGACCCAGTCAGTGAGACAGGAGTGCCTGAAAACAGGTTTGGGGGGGCATTTGCTGGTTTGCTTAAAGTGCGTCTAGACTGCAGGTTTTTTTGGAAAAACGGCCATTTTTCTGAAAAAACTTCACTTATGTCTACACTGCTATTACGTTCTTTCGAAAGAAAATCAAAAGAATGCAGGGGGGTTTTCCAACATTGGTAAACCTCATTCTCAAAGGAAGAACGCTTTTTCCAAAAGAGCTCTTTCAGAAAAAGGCATATGTGGACAGGGAAGAGGGAGTTTTTTCAAAAGAAGAGGCCTCCAGGAAAAAGCACAGGTGCCCTGGTGGCCACTCCGTCCATAGTAATCACAGCTTAAATGCAAAATAGTGTCCATTCAGTGTGGACGCTATCTTTCAAAAAAAAGCAGATTGCTTTTTCAATGCACTTTTGAAGTGTGAGCGCTCTCTTTTGGAAGACTTTTTTTGGAAGATCTCTTCCAAAAAAGTTTCTTTCAAAAGAAGCCTGCAGTCTAGATGTACCCTTAGTGGGCAGAAACCCGGGATCCTGGTCTGGGTCACTTGCATCCTAGGCCCTGACGTATCAAAGATAACATGGCAATGTTTTGCAGAGCCTCTGCTACCAATGTTATCGTCCATTCACTTTTCCCTGCCCCCGAAGAACACAGATTGGAACCTGCCTTCAGTGGCTGTTCTCTTGTGCCAGGGAGGGATCATCAGCTCCTCTTTGTGGGTAACCAGGAAGGAAGCACCAATGAACCTTGGCGAGAGCTCCCCAGTTGCATTCCACTATCCACCCAGCCATGCTGAAGGCCCATCACCCCGGTGTCGGGTGATGAGCAGTCAGTGCGTAAAGCTTTCCAAGGTGGGGAGATGGTTCTGTGGGGAAGGTTCGTCCCAAGGTTTCCTGGTAGAATCGCACAAGGCAGTGGGCTCCAGCCTCATTTGTTCATGGCACTGTGGTTGTGCTAACGGGATTTCTGTCTGACTGCTCAGTTGTCTCTGTGGTGACAGGGCCTCATGCCAGGGGACTCCCCATTTGCCCCGAAATTACCACGGGTTGCAAATATTGCCATTGTGCGTGGCATGAGCTGAGCTTGCGGGGCTCAATCCCGGGGACCACTCGTTCCCGAGGCAGGTTGGGGTGAATAGAGGAGGCAGTCGCCAGCACGACAACTGTTCGAAACAGCCACGTTTGCAGTTACATTTAATGTCTTCTTATAAACAGTTCGATCAGACTTGGGCTTAATGCTTCAGACTGCTTGCAGCCCAGGCCCCAACCCAGCTACCGTGTGGAAAGCAATGGCAAAAGGCCAGCTGGGGGCCTGGCATTCGCAAAACAGATTTGCCATTTTGGATGAGCAGGATTCAAAATTAAACCTGACCTCCAGAGAGTCCCAGAATGGCCCCAGCAACACTTAATATTGACCCAGCATCGTTACTGGCCAGCAAAGGGAAAGCTTAGCAAAGCAAAGCAGGGCTGGAGGAAAGGGTAGACCACAAAAAGGACAGAGAATGGCAACTTGAGGGGAAGATCTCGGGTTGTGGCTTCTTTATTTTCGTTACTCATCGTACCTAGGAGCAGCAAGCACTGGGACTAATTTTGGTTTGTTTTTTTTCTTGCTGCAGTTTAAGGGTAGTGGATTTGTGATTACCCTCCATCTAAGCAAAAAGCAATCCCGCTTCTCCTTCTGGAAAAGGAGGGTAAGCAAATGAAGCAGGTTCCACCACAGGAGTCTATGCCAGAGACCCTCGCGCTTCTCCTTCTGGAAAAGGAGGGTAAGCAAATGGAGCAGGTTCCACCGCAGGAGTCTATGCCAGGGACCCTCAATTCAGAAATGGATGATAAACCTCTTCCTCCCAAGGATCACATCCCCAAGGATCACGTCCAGTTTCTGCCCAAAAGGAAAAAGAAAAAGAAAAAGAACGAAGCAGTAACAGAACGCAGCGAAAATCTGGGGAAATGTCTTCGTTAGCTGTTAGCGAAACCGGATTGTAGACACGATGAAAGGAACCTACACGAAGACAATTAGACTAAATTATGTCCAGTTACAGAAGACAAGTTAACAGTGAAATGTGGGGCAGTCCGACTCCAGCCAGGCTCAGGGTCTGGCTTACCCCACTGCTGTCACTCATACATCACAGATCAAGGGCAGCCCCTGTAGGCTGTTTTAAACGAGGGCCAGCAGGAGGTTGGGCTAATGAGTAAAATCTGAACATTCCTCAAATTTCCCATCCATCCCGGGCGAAGGGGAGGGCTGGGGGGAGCTGAAACAAAGCGTCTCTTTCTGGAGTGGTTTGGGTCCTAGCAGGGACAAAATGCTTTTTGCTGATACTACTGGGGAGGGTGTGTAGAGTGGGCTTAAAGAATTCCAGGGCCAGATCCTCAGTGAGTTTGGCATAGCTAATCCAGCATTGGTTGGTACTGCTTTGAAATGAAAATATTCTGGAGGGAAGGGGAGATGAAAAGCTCCCCCGCACAGGTATCCCCGGCCCTCCATCATGACTGTAATGAAACTGAGCAAATAATTAAGAGGCAATATGGTTGCTCCCTATGGCTGCAGCCGTGTCCCCTGGGGATGGAAGGTATATCAACCAAGGCTTTCTTGTCTGAGTAACCCTGGAAACTAGCCCTGGCGTATCAAAAACTGAGGCTACTGTGGATCCCAAGCAGAGGCAAAGGGCTATTCGGGGCAATATCAGGCCTTTTCAGCATCCCTGAAAGCGGCCCCGGACCCCTACTAGGGCATTATTCGTCTGAACATGACTTACTCCAGGGAGAGATTTGTTCAAAGCCAGAGCCTGAGCCATGACCAAACCAATAAATAAACCTCAGCCACCTATTTGGGTTTCATTGAAGGGGAGGGAGTAACGTAATTAAAAGACATCAAAGAGATGGCCAACAAACCAAAAAAAAAACAACAAAAAACAGCATTTTAAAAAGGAAGAGAAAAACCTAGGCACTTTTGATCAATGAAGTTTCAGGGCTCCAGGATAAAAACACGAGCCTCTAACCCTATCCTTACACGGCGCTGAGGGTCCATCACTCCCCCACTCTGCCAAAACAAGGCCCAACATTTCCAAAGGTGACTACAGATTTGGGGAATCTGGCCTGAGAAACCTTAAAAGGGCCTCTGAGCACTCTGGAAAAGCAGGCTTTATCAAGGCATCTCCAGGGAAGCATACCCAAAACTTGAGGCAACTTTGGAAAATCTTGACCTAAGTTTGTTTGCCCATGCTTCTTTGTATTGCTACTATCAATTCAGCTCCACGGCTGGTAGCCATGATGGAGCCGCAGTGTAGACAAGACTCCAGGGATTTTCACCAGCGTGTTGCTTTACCACGTTCAGAAGAGGTCTAAAGGCCACAGGGGTGAACAAGTTGTCAGTCATCAACACCCTACCTGATTTAAAAGCACAAAGTCCACTGCCTTTCAGTGGCGCTTGTGTTTCTAAGTCACTTGGTCTCTTTTCAAAAGTCTATCCCATTTCTACACTCACACCCCCAGCTCTAAGTCACTTGGTCTCTTTTCAAAAGTCTGTCCCATTTGTACACTCACACGCCCAGCGTGGCTCCTGCTGGAGCAGATGAACTTATAGTAGCAAGAGTGGGAAATTTGGGTAAAGGAATCCTATGTTGTCAAGGCCTCGTTAATCTGAGGCCAGACATAGGAGATACTCAGTACCTGGCAGAATCAGGCCGCAAATGAGCCAGAATAATCCAGAAGGAGTTAGTGTTAAATTGAATTCATCTTTGGTAAAAGGCAGATAATTAAAGTTTCCTCTCTGTGAGACATTCAGATACACTGATGGACACCCTAAAAACAACATGAAGGCTATGTATACTGCAAGCCTCTTGCAAAAGAGCAAATGCACATGGAGCCATTTGCGCAAGAGCCGTTCTTCCTCAAAAAAATGAGAAAGAACGGTTCTTGTGCAAAAGGGGGGTTTTGCACAGAAAGGCACTGTCTACACAGCGCTTTTTTGTGTGAAAACCTCTTGCGCAAAAGGAAAAGGAAGAGGAAATGCAAATGAGAGTGCTGCATATGCAAATGAGCTGCCATTTGCATTTGCTCTTCTGCAAGAGGCTTGCAGTATAGACGTAGCCAAAGAGAGAGAGAATTCACTCTCATTTTGCTTTTGGCCATTACAGGATTATTCATCATTATTATCGGTTCTGAGCACTCACAGCCACGTTTTGTGTGTCTATGGGTGGTGCACATTCACACATGCCTTGGTGCACATAAAATTATTCTGCACATGAATGGAAAAGTTTAAAGGGAACATTGGTGGGAAGGGGAGCAGACAAAGAGAGAAGTGAAAAAGCTGGTGGCTGGGCAGCATTTGTGCATGGGTGGAGGCACTAGAAGGGGCCCAGGAAAAGTGTCCAAATGCAATCAAGTCAATATTCATGTCTGGATTCAAACACACATTGGAGAGAAACGCCCTCCTCTTTGCTTGCCACTAAATGAGCAAAGGCTTTGTGTGCAGAATTCCATCTCTATCATGGGCAGCCCTTCCTTAACCCCGCTGTTCCTGAGTCTCTCTTCTTGTGCACGGCAAACCAGTTTCCGTCTCTTCCTGTGACGTTCCCAGACCAAGGTCACATTAGCTGCCAAACTAACCCCCACTTGACATGGAAGTTGCCAAGTTGAAACTCATAAAGAATGGCTGGACCCATAGCCTGGCCTTGGTGCAGTGAAACATTCATCATGGAGAACTTTATTTCATGCCTTTATTTCCCCCCCCCCCCCCCCCAGTATCTAGATGCTGTGATGGGCTTAAGTTGAGACAGTCAAGATCTCATTGAGAGAAAAACCAAACCCCATCCTCCTCTGCAGCCTCACTGGTCAGTCAGGAAACAGAGACTTCAGCCCTAATTCAATAAAATGCTTCAGCACGTGCAAAGGGCAACCTCATTCAGCAAAGCAGGTGCGTAACAACATGGAATCAAATGCCTTACTGAAAAAGGTTGGGCTTTAGCATGTGCTTAAATTGCTTTGCTGAATAAGGGTGCTAATCAGCATAGACAGGCTCAGGGGCAAGGGGAGTCTTGCAGCTCCTTCTCAAAATGGTCAGGTTCATGCTTGATCATGTTTCTGAAGAGGACAAATGCCAACAGAAGGAGAAATTCCTGCCACCAAACCCCCCTCACATGTGCTTCCCCCTCATCTGTGACCACAAGGAGATTCTTATTAGGAACAAGCTACCCCATCCTCTCCCACTCCCATCCTACCTCTGCGCATGCCCCTTGAGCATCCTATCCCTGCTGACATGGTACCTATGTGCCGCCCTGTTATAACAGCTGCCCCCTTCAAGATTTCCCTCTGGATAGGGATGACCCAGGCAAATATTTCTTTAGCCGAGGGGATGATTGGGGAAGAGCCACTACTCCTTGGATGGGATGCAGGACACTTGCATGGACAGTGTTCCCTGTAAGTTGTGCACTTGTGCGGCCACTTGGGAGAGATTCAAATGCTGCCCTGCTGACTAGCAGAGCACCCACAGCTAGGTGTTTTGTTTCTACTGGTGGTGCACATTCACCCATGCTTTGGTGCACATAAAAATTTATTCCACCCATGGATGGAAAAATTCCACACATGGATGGAAAAGACTACAGGGAATATTAGGCGTGGAGTACTATTTTCTAGACAGAGTTATTATACAGGACAGACTCAATGATCGTCATGGCCCCTTCCAGGCATTAAATCTATAATGATTAAAAACAAGAAAATTGGAGGTGGGAGGAGGAAGAGATAAAAAATAATAATCAACTTTTTGCCCTTTTTTCCTCTTTAATGAAACCAGCATATGTTTCCCGTGATATTAGGCGTGGAGTACTATTTTCTAGACAGAGTTATTATACAGGACAGACTCAATGATCGTCATGGCCCCTTCCAGGCATTAAATCTATAATGATTAAAAACAAGAAAATTGGAGGTGGGAGGAGGAAGAGATAAAAAATAATAATCAACTTTTTGCCCTTTTTTCCTCTTTAATGAAACCAGCATATGTTTCCCGTGACTGTTTATCCCCCCTAATGAGCTGGTTCCTTAGCTAGTACAAAGGCGATGTCTCCAGAAACACATGTATATTTTCAATTAACTAGAAATACTCCCAGCTCAGGCCGCTTTGGCTGGTGCCTGGGAAGGGTCTGAGCCCAGGCAGGAAAAACAAACAAGCAAATCGAGACAGAAACTTTTCAGCCTGGATTCAACCAGTGGCGTTAGAAATAGGGGGGATGCCCTTTTAGCCGGCCTGTTGTGTCACAGCTTGTCACAGCAGCCAGGGCGAGTGGTGGCATCCCATTCCAGCCTTCAGACTGCTAGCCATGGACTGTCCTGGTCTTAGGGCTGGGCAAACTGGGCCCATGCCCAGGGCGCCATAGCCAGAGGGTGAGGGACTACTCGGCATGGGTGTTGCTGGGTGAAGGGGGTGGGCAGGGAGGCAGCGTGGCAGGGCCATGCTGGAAGCGCAGGGCTGGGGTTGGGGGCACAGCTGGCAGAAAAGAGAAGGGGGTGAAGGGGGTGCTGTGCAGATGTTAGGGCAAAGTGGGCACAATGCAGGGGTTAGTGGCCAAGGGAGCACAGGATGGAGGGTGTGGGGTTGGGAAGCCCATGAATGCCAGGGGGAAAGGGTGGCACTTTGCCCACAGTGGCCAGGGGCACCAAAACACATGTTCACCGAAGGCACCGTTTTCCTCAAGGCCCTGGCCATAGGGAAGCAAGGCAAGGAGTTAGAGACACAAGTCAAGAACAGCTGGTAGAGGGAGTGGGGTCCGGTGGATGGGAGGATGCTCCATTAGGCCTCAGGAGCCCTGGCGTCTATCTCTGGCTCTGTTGCATGAGCTTGAGCAAGTCACTTCCCCGGGTGTCTAGATCGGAATCCTGTAACCAATCAGAGCTCTGTGCGTGGGCCATGAGACGTTTTGTTTACCGTGGCTCATTCCCAGGGTTGCCAGATTCCGCTGGTCTCTGTCCACATACGGTTTTGTTTTCCCTACCGGTGTTTCAGAAGTGACACGCATGTAAAGCACGGGACATGGGAAGGGACGTGAGTGCTGATTGCACACACCACCGACTGTGAGAGCTGCGCGCTCCCTCAAGAGCCGTTCTTCCTCAAAAAAATGAGAAAGAACGGTTCTTGTGCAAAAGGGGGGTTTTGCACAGAAAGGCACTGTCTACACAGCGCTTTTTTGTGTGAAAACCTCTTGCGCAAAAGGAAAAGGAAGAGGAAATGCAAATGAGAGTGCTGCATATGCAAATGAGCTGCCATTTGCATTTGCTCTTCTGCAAGAGGCTTGCAGTATAGACGTAGCCAAAGAGAGAGAGAATTCACTCTCATTTTGCTTTTGGCCATTACAGGATTATTCATCATTATTATCGGTTCTGAGCACTCACAGCCACGTTTTGTGTGTCTATGGGTGGTGCACATTCACACATGCCTTGGTGCACATAAAATTATTCTGCACATGAATGGAAAAGTTTAAAGGGAACATTGGTGGGAAGGGGAGCAGACAAAGAGAGAAGTGAAAAAGCTGGTGGCTGGGCAGCATTTGTGCATGGGTGGAGGCACTAGAAGGGGCCCAGGAAAAGTGTCCAAATGCAATCAAGTCAATATTCATGTCTGGATTCAAACACACATTGGAGAGAAACGCCCTCCTCTTTGCTTGCCACTAAATGAGCAAAGGCTTTGTGTGCAGAATTCCATCTCTATCATGGGCAGCCCTTCCTTAACCCCGCTGTTCCTGAGTCTCTCTTCTTGTGCACGGCAAACCAGTTTCCGTCTCTTCCTGTGACGTTCCCAGACCAAGGTCACATTAGCTGC